TATGATGTGACCATGCATGCATATACGTTGTTTATATTACGATTTAATTGCAGTTTTGCGGTTTTTCAACTGATAACTCATATCTCTATTCCACAAGATGACGCCATTCGGAATATGCATGCATTTTCGAATATTTCTCGAAATTGAGTGCCAGTAAAGGCCTGGGAAAAAGCCGATACCATTATTTAGTCATCGCTATCTTAAATTAAATTTCGAATCAATTCGCCACATCTATATATTGGCGTCACATTTGGAAAATAAAATTAAGTTAGGGTCGAAATTAACACCGGGTCAAACCAATTTCTTCTTCAGACAAGTCAGGGGACTCATAAAATCATACTAATCTACACTATATTTATCTCTTAGTTTTGTATTAGTGTTATGGCAATAAGAACAACAAGAGTTATTATATACACAAGGTCTGGATATGAAGTATTCTACAATCTGATTGGTTCTCTACTAGCAGGATATTAGCTCATAGCCTACTAGTAGAGAAAAACAAAATGGCGGCTCAAACTGAATTTCCGATTTTTGCGAACGAGAAAACGGCAAGTTGTTCGCTTTTTATAGCCTTTACAGGATTAAAAACACAATGAAAAAACTCGCACAAATTGTTTACAGGTTAGCAAATGAATTTTTAAAATTTAAAATGGTTAAAAATATATATTTTTGAAGAAATGAATCGGCCGAAAGAGCGAAGATAAAAACATAAACAAAATAGAAAAATATTGAAAATATCCGAAAAGCAAAGTCTGTGAATTCAGACCTTGTGTATATAATAAAACAGTTATTCCACTCACTCTCGTCGAATATGAGCGATAGCCGATTCGGCGCTACGCGCCTCACCGGCTATCAGCTCATATTCGACTCGAGTTCGTAGAATAACTGTTAATTATTGATTCTCCCAGGAATTAACATGAGTGATCATCGCATGAGGTTACTGAATTAACTCAAAAAACTGCTGGTGCTATAGTCCTATAATTAACCTGAGAATAGACCTTATGCATAATGACGCAAGGAATGCTGGTCTTAGTGGTCATCGCTTGGGAAAATTTCGATAGTGGCCATTTTGAATTGTTTAATTTTCCCAGGCGATGACTACTAAGACCAGCATTCCTTGCGGGCATCAAGCCTTGTGACGTCATTATGCTTAAGGTCTATTAGACATACTGTTAATTTACCAGTGAGTTCTGTACTATGATCTAACCATGCATGTTTAACTACTCAGCAGCAAGTTCTGTACAACATCAGATCACTTCAACGTAGCTCTTGCACATTCAAGAACATGTACGTACTACCTCTGCATTATCTATTTAACCATCCTTACTAACTCAGCAGTGAGTTCTGTACAACATCAGATCACTTTATAATAATAGATCACGTTCAAGAATATATGCCAAATATGGACTACCTCTGCATGACCTAACAATGCTTAATTTAGTATAGTGAGTTCTGCACAACAATGTACTACCGCTACACGAACAGTGAGTTCTGTACAACAGATCAGATCACTTTATAATAGCTCACATTCGGGAATCAGTGTAACAATGACCTAACAATGTTTAATTCAGTATAGCGAGTTCTGTACAACATCAAATACTTTAAGGTATAGCTCACATTCAAAAACATGTACTTCCTCTACATAGAAAGTGAGTTCTGTACAGCATCAGATCACTTTATATTAAAATAGCTTATAACATTCAAGAATATGTAATACCTCTGCAAGATCTAATTAAATTCACAATGCTTAATTCAGCAGTGAGTTCTGTACATCATCAAATACTTTAAAGTACCAAATACAACCAAAACATATACATACATAAACTTTATTTATCCTTGAATTAGAAAAGTAGCATAATGTCTTAATGATTGTCTATCTAATACCTACATTTACTGCCGAATATGTACTACCTCTGTACCAGGAACCAAGCCAGGCTAACCGGCGAGCAGTGAGTTCTGTACAACTGATCAGATTATTTGCAGACAGGTTAAGCCCGCCGCACACGAGAGAAACTTGCTGAGTTAACCCCCTCGCGTGGCAGCTAGCTCAGCTATGTATTTTCACCGCACACGTTGAGAAAACTACTCAACAACAACATAAATAACAAAATCATTTGCATTTTCCTCCATTTTGTTCCAATTAAGTCACATGAAGAAACTATGGTTTGTCATTGCCATTGGCTAATTGATTCAAACATCTTTGGTTACATTCATGCAACGAATTACGTTAAAATCAATGTTTTCAAAAAAAGGCGTACAAAAGTGTAGCTAGGGTTCCTGTGTATGTAGTATATTTATTCACTTGTATTTCACGTTTTAATGGCACAATTCCCTAGCTAAAAAGATCGGTGACCCCCGTTTTTTAACTGATAATTTATTTCTTTAATGCATTTTACATTTCATATCCGAAATTAAAAGAAAAATCATTTCTGGATCTTGAAAAAAAAAAGCTTTATCAATGCATGTTCCCAAAGAAAGATATGTAAAGAAATGTGGAAAAGACTCCATATATGGATCAGAATTGTACACGTTAGTAGTTTCATTTTGCTCAAAACACAATATTTTTTAAAAAATAATTACAAGATAGGTTTACTAAAGCAAAATCCGCGCTAAAAACGTCAATAAATATCGGGCTGTTGTGATTTTGCTGTTACTCGCAATGAGCATCAAGATGGCGCCATATTGGGGTAAAGGTGGTATATCATATATTGTCATATCTTCTTAACGAGTTCGGTGACCCCGACTTTTTTGTGCGATTTTACTTTAAGTATATCATAAACTCCATGCCTGGGAAGTTTCAGCACATTCTCATTTCGGGGACAATTACTGCGGAATTACCTTAAGTCTTAAATTAAGACTCTTAGTAATCTTATTACAATCGAAAAATTCAAACTTGCTAATGCAACAGGCCACCTAAGTTCCACGAGGATTAAACCAAAATGCCACATACAACGAGGTAACTCCCCAAAAATAGGATAATCCAAGACTTTTATATGTGAATATTCAAGCAACCCCTTCTTAAGTACAATTTTCAACTATTTCACACCTCTACGTCTCGCCCCTTTGATCCAAACAGGGCCACCTGACCTCGGTTTAGCAACAGACCACTAAAATGGTCTATCATAGGAAGCCAACATACCATTTGATAATATTACGGCTTTGCACGAGTCCAACATGCTTAACTCTAATCACATGAGCTCTGTACAACATCAGATCATTTTAAGCCTCGTTTTTGTAATGGTCGTAAAAATAGAGTCACGATCTTTCAAAACGGCCAGTCTATAATAGTTTATAATAAATCATAAGTATTCTCTAGTTATAATCACTCCGCGTATTCTCAGTTCTCAGATGTTGTATTTCGGCTGATGAGAAAGATCGTGATAAGTCACGACCGTTACGATCATATGGGCAGGGCCGCCGAGAGGGGGGGGGGGCAAATTTCCCCGGGCCCCGAGGTGCTGGGGGCCCCTGAAAATTTTTTGTTGGGCCCCAGGCTTTTTTGTGTGTTAAATATTTCCGCGCAAAGGACAGGATATCTGTTTTTTGGGCTAAGTACCGAAATTTGGCATAAAAAAATGAGATAAAGAAAGTGCCTCGAAAGTAATTGCAACGTACTCGTCCGGAAAAATTTTTTACTCCGGAAAAAATTTTTTAGCCCTAAAATGGTACACCGACCGAAATTTTTTTGGCGACGGGGGCGGGCGGGGGGGGGGGAGATTGTTCTCCGGAAAAAAATTAACTCGTTACTCGGTCAACTGGGACAGAGCATGCAGAAGAGACTAAATCTATTCACACTAGTTATGCACAACAACAGATCAAGAATATGTACTTCAGTTATACCCAGTGGCGGAAATTTACATGTATACCATCTTTATAACAATTGTGATATTACTTTCTTAACTGTGTTTATCCTAACCCACCCTGTCAACTTTCCCAATCGAATCCGCGAACACAGATGTGAAAAGGCGCTTGTACAGATGACCGCGCCACCGAAGCATTTATCTATCATGCTTAACTCACGGAGAGATGGACTTAACTCTTAAGTGATCAGACAGTTTCTATAAAGCAACAGACGGCTACTTGACTAGCTGGTCACCTGGCCCGGATTTTCGCGCACCTTTTAATCTGTCCCTCAAATCTCTCATTTCAGTTCGTTGTTTTTAACACATATCTGGCTACTTCTGTGCACTTGATTGCTTTTCAATGGGCACTTGGTGCCTGTTTTGAGCACCTTTAACACTTGCGCACCAAAGATCAATTTATTTATTTATTTAGAAACTTTCATCAGGTTAATTAGAAACAACATATGGGTACATATGAATAACATAGAGTAAAAGTAATTACAAAAATTTGGAGTAACTTGATGAGGGGCTAACGAACGGACTTGTCAAACACAACAATACAACTTGAAAGTTAAACGAATGAATAAAATTAGAGATCTCGTGGAAAAGTGCCCACCTCAGCATGTTCTAACAAAAGGAAAGGACCACATCCCCAATGACTCATGCTAATTGGACCCTTGATAGCCAAATGCGGCACAACCACAAACTCAAAATTCAAAAACAAATATCAAACCAAACAGTGGCCAAACCACTTTTCACAATTGCATCGCAGCTCCACGTCATTTGAAATAAGCTGAGCCGTTTAGAACCAAAAGAGCATTATCTGTTGACATTTGGCTAGCAATCAAATTTAAACCGCATTCAATATAATGCGTGTTTGTTGTATGAACAATTTAAGTGCTTTGCATGGGATTTTTATATTGAAGAAGATACTATGCTGAAATTTAAAAGTGTAAAATAAATTGATCATTTACTATACTGTGTGTGCTTGTTTCATAAACATAGTTTCATAGTAAGACATCCCACAGGTCCACTTACTAGATTATTCCATGCTGCCACTTATAAAACAAGCACCAGTTCCGCGCATACCTAACATTCCAATAACGAGTTTAGACAGTGTATAAATTGACGTACACTAGGCTTATTAACTCAGAGACGGCCTGCGCGGAAGGACGGAAAGGGTGTCAATTTTTTGGTGGAATAATATCGCCACGACTTCAACCATGGACAAAATGATTCTACTTGTATTTGCTTATGGTGTCCTGTTAAATTCATGTGTTTTTGCATTCACAGAACCGAAACAAGGTTAGTTCTTTCACATAGCGTGCGCGAAGCGTACATTGTACAAAAAAATACCCTTGATTGCTTTGGCCTTAGATATTAACACCGTATTCACGTTGCGTGTACTAATAATTAAAAAGCAATTGGATTAATCGCGCACGAAAATCTTTCGCGTTTACAAGGCGTATGTACAGCATTTGTAGCGATGAATGCAGAGATTTTGAGATTTTCTGATACGCGGAGAAACGAATTCAAAGATTAGAAGACTTTGCCTTACGTCGTATGCTGAAAAATAATGACAGCATTTTTGTAATGTAATGCGTTTTAATAATTTTGCAATTGTCGTCTGAGGGTAGTTTTTACCGTATAGTATAAAAGATGAGTTAATCCTTGTCAGCGACTTATACTAAGATTTTAATTGCATTCATAATGTAGGCATAGCGATTAAAATATAGAAAGACTAAATGACCATGCAATATAGCTAAAATATACAGTCTGGAAATAGCACTCTTCCTCAGAACATGTTTTCGTGTTTTTCATGTTGTTTGCCCCCATTTTATCAAAGGTTGCACGTTTCCAGTGTTATCCTAAGTGCAACAGGCGTGTGCAATGGACCAAAGGGTCAACCCTTCAGGAGACAGCCATACTATAATTCTATGTCGAGTCATTTGAGAAGACAATTGAGATTAGGTGATATACATCTCTTATGTATCGCACTGGTGTACCGGCTGGCCCAATGCTGTTCAAAACAGAATCACACAGCGCTGAAACGATCCACAACCAATTGCACTGTGTGAAGTATGTTTTTCCAATCAACATCAAAAACCTTAAACTCAAATCATGCCATTTTTCTATAAATTGCAAGCGAATTCCATGATGTATACAGCAAACACCATTTAGATATAAATCTACCTCGATAACGCAAATAAAAACATTTGACGGCCGACAAAGAATAGTGCCATCTCAAAGGTGAAACACATTTGATACAATTAGGCTTAAATTTTAACATTTAACCCACCTGATCGACGATTGAAGCATAGTATTCATTTTACAAGAAAATAACAAGTTATTTCCAAACGGAATTCCAAATTTCCACAAACAGCACATTGATTATCTAAGCGGAGATCTTGGCTAACCACCCCGGAAAATGGTCAGAATTTCTACACCCTAACACCTAACGCGTGATAAGTTACTAAATTTAGTCCATGCGTGTTATTTCTTTTGGCAACTACGGTTGATAAAAGGTCAAACAAGCAAATGGTACATGAAACGGGTGTGCTGTCTGTATCGTACGGTATACTGATAATCTAAAATGTATATATATAAGAACAGATGGGTTTTCGTTTAGAATTCTATATAGTAACATAAAATAGTGTCCATACGTCTTATTTCTTATGCCAATAGTCGCTGATAACGGGTCAAACAAACAAAAGTTACACGAAGCAGTTGTGTTGTCTATATCGTATAGTACAGATAACCTGAACAGTTTATAAAAGAACAGATTGGTTTTCATTTAGAGTTTTAGTATGAACAGAAACAGCGCAGATTAATAGGAGATTACAACAAAGGATTTATCGTATCTTGCATGTAAACCTAAAGACTAGTCCTCTGTTGAACATAGTCACTTTGTTGAACAGTACGGGCCAAGATAGTCATAGTCACTTTGAACATAGTCACTTTGTTGTCAAAGCCTTCTAATGCTAAGCTTTTAGGATTACAACCTAAACTACGTCATATATGTAATAAAAACGTAAGGCATGCTGAATTTTTTTTATACACCACCAAATAAGTGCCTTCGTCCGTCTGAGGATATTTGACATTTCGAAGACAAAAGGATTTTAGATATCCTTCAATACTTCATGTAAACTCGCCATATGCGCAACGCTGTTCTTTTTACAAAGAGACGCCTGGGTACGAAGCAGTCCTTGCACTATTCACCTCCGGACAAAAACAAAATGGCTTCCCGTTCCGTTCCGGTTACAGAGGAGCAAATTTTTGTACCAAACGAAGCTGTGGTTTCGCACAAAGTCATGTTTACCAGTGTGTATAGAGGAATTCTTTAACTTCTAATGAGTAAAATTACTAAAAGCTTGAAAATATGTTTGTTGTAAATGTTTTGTTTACAATATTTGTTTGTACATTAAATTTGAACATTTTTTGTTCATTATGTTTATGAACTATTAACACTAGACAAGAAACAAAATTTCACATATGATTTCATAACATGTGTATATATAGTCGGTTCCAATTCCACATATGAAATATTAAAACATTTCACAACATATGAAATTAATTCAGTTTCACGGCATATAAATCTTTAATTTGAAAATTCTAAATTTCACATATGGAATGACCGTTTCCACATGTGAAATGTTCCAATTCAACATAAAATTTCACATGTGAAATTATGTGTGAATTTTATGTAAGGGATCGAGACCCTTTCTGGACCTTTATAAGTCGAACAGTTTAGAACCGATACAGCAATCCAGCAGTTTAAATAAATGGGCTATACGCAGTATACAATATACCCAGTCCTCTCCCACACCGTATAATCTAAATTTCATACGCTCTTGATTAGGCGCTGTAAGACTTGGTGGGAATATATAACATACATAATGATTCATGCTGGGTCAGTCTCACAATATGCAGTGCCGAAATACAGTATTGTATACAGTATACCCAATCAATCCTGGTCAGCAAAGAAGTATCTCTGCATGTACTAGAATGATTTTCGTATATATATATATATATATATATATATATATATATATATATATATATATATATATATATATATATATATATATATATATATATATATATATATTGAAGCCCGGATCAAATGAAGATGAGAGCGCAGTACTCCACGAAAGTCATCAAAACACTCATCAAACCTGTATTTTGTTAATCTAGAGCATCATATACTTCGTGACTCTCAAACTCTCATCAACTCTCATTCTCATCAGTTGACCGGAGCTTAAATTAAATTTTGCATTTTTCTTTTCTTAATTTATTTAAAATAGTTCATGCATGCTCGGAGAAAATTAAAGGCATTTTAACGACCATCAAAACCACAATATTATGTTTTTATTCTTTTTTCTGTGTTGGTGTTATGTACTGAGGTGAATATGATGCTTGTGATGTTACTCTGAGTGTGCATCCACACCGGACAAGCTTGGGCTAGTATTCCAAAGGTCGTAGGTTCGATTCCCACCGTGGCCAGGCATGTTTTTCAAGCTTGTCCGGTGTGGATATACACTCAGAGTAACACCACAAACATCATGTTTTTATTCGTTTAATTTAAAAACGGGAAAAACGATAGACTGTTTGTTTACCAACGTATATTTCTACAAGGTTAATTTAAAAACACCAGAGTCACAAATTGTGGTTTGGGCAATTCCGGCTGACTCACGCATGAATATTATAGAGGGCAAGATGCCAGTCTGCCACGCAAAATAATCAATCCGAATTCCGGAATTTTGGGGCTAAACATAGTTTATTGTTTTGTTAATTAAATTGTCGTCTTAACCCACCCATGAACTAGAGCTCGCAAATACAGCATTTCCTTTCCTGCCTTAAGTTAAACAAAATTCTTCCGCATCATTCATAAAAGCTTACTAACAGGTTATTAAAGTCTTACATGTACAGTTTACAGTATTTCTGACACTTGTACATTTATGATCATACGTAAAAACACGCAAAGTCTTATAAAAAACTCACCATCAAAAATAGCCATTCTCTCCCATTGAGATTTTTAATTAACGTGTCACTGGACAACCCATTCACATAATATGGAACAATCATATTTCACATTGTTTCTTAAATTTTCTGACGTGCGAGCAGTTAATCCATCTACAACGCCTCAAATCCATCGTGCTAAAAATACGAAAATAAAACGGTGTTAAAATATTTTCTTTATATTATGGTCGAGGTTGGTATAAGCGTTCCAAATTTGGCAAAATCCGCTTCCAAATCCGCTTTTGCAGGCCGTAGGCAGATGAATTATTTATTTGCATTTTTCTTCTCACATTTTTTTAACACACGCTTCGGCTCTTCACTGAATCAATCACTACAAAAAACTCATGATTTATTACATCATACTGTTTTAAAGGAGTTAACGAGTTAAAGTGATTAACTCGACACGTGTTGCAGCAGAAAGCTTATGATGCAGTTCAACCTGATCGAGGCGAAGGCTTTCTGTATAAGGGCGTCTCTGACAGCCACCTTATAGACATAGTCCAGCGGAAAAGTAAAAGATCATGCACGTTGTGAAGAAAGCACCAAATTCACAGGAAGTGTAGACTTTAACATGATAATGAATCTTAGATATGGAGGCATCACCAAAATTGATGCTGACGGCTTAAAATTTAGGATTTCTTATATTCTCTTATTACCTCTATTACTGTTTAAAATTGTGAAAGTGCAGGTTCACATATAGCAAAAATGACTTGCATGATTAGAAAGCTTACAAAAAACTACATATAAGACTTTTAAACGGCTGATTGATTTTCCAAGCAGTTTTCCAGTTTTTGCTATTTAAAAACGTGATAAATAGGCAGAAATCCCGCCAAAGTCCTGGACACTAGCCCTAAAACATATTTTCAACCGCTCATAACTCCAGAGGAATTGGAAAATCAAAGTAACTGCTTAAATGTCTTATATGCAGCTTTTTTTTGTAAGCTTTCTAATGACGCTTGTCATTTTTGCTATATGTGAACCTGCAATTTCACAATTTTTAATTGTATAAGAGATTAATAAGAGAATACAAAAAATCCTAAATTTTACGCCGTCAGCATCAATTTTGGTGATGCCTCCATATCTAAGATTCATTATCATGTTTAAGTCTACACTTGCTCTGAATTCGGTGCTTTCTTCACAAAGTGCATGATTTTCTCAAATATCTGTGCATATCCGCTGGACTATTATGACTCATGTGTGATCACAGAGCAGGTGGAAGGGTCAGTTAGGGGCTTATCCCAATCCACATGATCCTCTAAATGTCATGATTCATGATTCCGCAGCGAGAATCGAACCCATGACCATGCACTGAAAGGCGCTGGCTTTAATTGACGGTATAACTTCTCAAATTATACAATGTGTATAAAAAAAACCTGAACCCTTTCAAATTCAAATTAGCTATAACGTATTGTAGTAATTTGACAGCTCTAATTGCTTTAAATTAATGGTTGGATAAGAACACTAGGTCTTGTTCTCATGGGACAAAACTCAAAGAAATAAAAATTAGAAAATTTAAAAGAAACACAGTATTCCTTGTGTTCTTACCCAACCATTAATTCAAGGCAATTAGAGCTGTCAAATTACTACAATACGTTATAGCTAATTTGAATTTGAAAGGATTCAATTTTTTTTATACACCCTGTAGAAAGTATTTAATTAATATCTTAATTTAAGAATTTATTTTAACTTGGGCATTTGCCCAAGAACCATCAATTAGTTTCATTCCAATGTCAAGTGTTGCATGACCTATGCTGAATGCATGGTATATCATTATTTACCATTTAAAAAACAGATTGGCTGTGTTAAAATGATGTTCATGTGATCGGTTGAAAGTGTTCGGGTATAATATATATCAATGATATATGTTGTTTAAGTTGTTTCGTGCATGCTTCCAATGGTAAACAAATACTTAACAAGAGAGGCAGGAAACATATATTGCATGGCTACACCATAGGCACCCAAGGTCGATGACTTGTGCATTTTTTGAAATCCTTCTCAATATTTCATGGGCAAAACAAAAATAATCAGTCTACTGTATCGTCGTCTTGATATACTAAACGTTTAAAAATATTACCTGTCGGGTTGAGACTACATTCACACAACGTCGTATAGAGGTTTGAAAACGGCATAGAAAAGTCACAATTAGTATACTTTTTTGTACCGCTTGCAAACCAAGCATCTCAGGTCTCAAAACAGTAAATTTGAATGCTTTTCGCTTAAATTTTTTTGCCCTATTTGAAATCTTATGCAGATTGTGTTTCGTCTACAGTAAAACCCCGCATATAAGAACTTAAATTTAAGAACATGTTCTATAAGCTAAAATATTTTATATAAACCCCCTTTAGGCTTTACGTAAGAACCTGTTCAGGCTATAGAATTTCAAAACAGATTCTTATATTATCAAATAGAGTCAAAATCAAGTCATAAGTTACGATCAGTGTAGCTTTAAAGTGCATATAGAGTTGGTATAGTGCATGCATATATACTGTCATTTTTTAGATCATTTGGTATTGGACCATTCTCCAATTAACCAAAATTTTGATCTCAACAAGTCTAGACAAAATTCCATGATAGCATGAAAAAGCATCACAAAATTAGTAATATTCCAAAGTTTCGTTGCGAAATGTTGTAAAATGCGGATAATATAGCCTTGCGAAATTTGCAATTTTCGATTATGTCATTTTAGATTACAAACGGGAAATGGTTACCACTTTTCCAAAATTTTGATCTTAACTAGCCTAAACAAAAATTTCATCACAGCTTGAAAGAGCATCACAAAATTAGTAATATTCCAAAGTTTTGTTGCAAAATGTTGTAAAATGCGGATAATATAGCCTTGCGCGAAGTTTGCCGTTTTTCAGTCATTTTGTATTACGCACGGGAAATTGACAGCCCAATCGGGTGTTGGGGCATCAATTTCAAGTTTGTAATACAAAATGACTGAAAATTGCAAATTTCGCAAGGCTATATAGTATCCGCATTTTACAACATTTCGCAACGAAACTTTGGAATATTACTAATTTTGTGATGCTCTTTCAAGCTGTGATGAAATTTTTGTCTAGATCAAAATTTAGTCTATAATGCAAATGGTCCATTGGGGAATGGTCCATTGTGCATAACTGATTTATATAAATCACATACCATACCTCCCTAAAATAGTCGCTTTGCTCTTAAGAAAATAAGAACCTATTTAAGAACCTGTTTACCGTAATTTCCTGGTAAGCACCATAAGAACCTGTTTAGGCTAACTTGGAAAATCCAGGTTCTTATTATATATACGCGGTTTTACTGTATTATCTAATCTTTCACAACTAAAAAATTTATCTATCACCAATGCTTCGTCGTAGGAATGGCCAGGAAATATGATACGCATTGCTCGTTTTTGCACTCTTTTCAGTTCATCAGAATGGTATTGGAGTAACGAGTTCCAAACTTCGCAACTATATTCCAAAATCGAACGAATCAGGGCGAAGTACATTTTAAGACGGTCAGCTGGTAGAATACCGCTCCGTTGCAAAATTCTGAGAATGTGCAAGCGTTTGGAACCTTACGCGATTATCGGTCGAATATGTTCGTCCCAATTCATTATAGAGATACAAAAACTATGACACTGAAAAACACTTTGAAACAAATGCTTTTTGGTATTTCAACTTGCATGTATCTGTTCACCGGTACCAGAAACCCACTTTATTTAATGCGAATATGGAAGTCTTAATCGGATGTATATAGATAATATGCTTTACTTCAGTATTATGCGATAATGGTGTAATTTCCTGATGCAAATTAGGCAAAACTCAGCCGAATTTCAGGTGGTAATTTTTGGCATTAAAGTTTTCCAAAATAGCACTAATTTATCATTTTTTACCAATGCCACATATCCGCCTGTGAGTTTTAATTGGTTTTAAATTTGGAATTTATAATCTTCTTGTTTGTGAATTTCGTTGATTTACATACTGCATAGACAACACGTACAAGGATGAAAGAATTTAGCGTTTAATGCCAATATCCCATCTTCAAGGCCTATGTCTATGAAATGCCAGAAAATCTTCATTCGAATATTGACTGTTTTGTATGCCCTCGAAAATATTGTAGCGAAATTGATTTTTGTTGTGGAAACAATGTTCGCTGGAATTCCCAAATTTGAAAAGCATGGCCATGGTTAAGGAAACAATATTTTTTCAATGTTGTTTTATTGGCCGAAGGGCTATAGCTTTCCTAGCCGGCGTAGCTGACAGTTTAATTTCCAGGGTTTGAGATGTGGAAAAATAGCTTTTCAAGGCATCCACATCTTCATTATAACAATTAGTACAACTGTAATTTAATTAACTGGAGATGTAATTACTGATTATTACTAATGAATTAGTAAGGACACAGAGAGCCGTGTTCAAGTCGCAGTTGATGTTGTGGAAGATTGGTCGAAGGCAAATGGGCTATCTCTTAACGCTGAGAAATGTAAAGAACTGAGAATCGATTTTAAAAAAATTAAACAACCTTTTGATCCTGTACTGGTGGGTGGAGAAGCATTGCCTATAGTTGAGAGTGCAAAATTATTGGGTCTTGTTATGACAGGCACACTTCAGTGGAAAGATAACATCAGAGAGAGTATATAAAGAAAGCTAATAAACGCCTCTATTTTATAGTATTATTGAAACGGGCAGGCGTAAATGTCAATGATGTTTTGAACTTTTATTGTACAGTGATCAGGCCTGTGCTCGAGTATTGTGCGCAAGCCTTCCATCATTCCATCCCAAAGTATTTGGCAGACGAACTTGAGACTGTCCAGAAACGTGTGCTAAAATTTTATCTCCTGAAATGACATATTGTGAGGCCCTTGAGTATTTTAGACTGCCTACTCTATTTCAAAGAAGAGAGGACATGTGTGACAAACTCTTTACGAGTATCATCAAGGATCCAATGCATAAACTTCATCATCTGCTGCCCCCGAAGAACGAGACTGATTATTCTTTCAGGACGAATCGGTATTTTAATATGTACGTTACACGCACGAACCGCTTTTATAACTCTTTCATCCCTGCTATGTGTAGGAAGTTTGTAGGATAGATTTTATGCTTATTTTAATCGAATTTTGATCGAGGGTGGGTTTTATAATATTGTATTAATAATATATTTATATGTAGTCAATGTGATAATATGTAATCCACGCAATTCAGCTTCTGGCTGCAATGTGGTTTCAATTTAATAATAATAATAATAATAATAATAATCATGCAGTGTTATAATTAAATACAATTGTTCGTAATCAAAGCTAAACAAATTAATTCATACTATAAATTATTTACCATATTGTGGTACCATACAGTATTTTGTGTCAAATGTATAACTGATGCATGTAATGTTGAGCTGAGCAACAAGTGATGTTGATTATTCAACAACAAATCACATGGTCATTTTTAATTTTGGGTACGTAGCAAAACTGTCAAGGTTTTGGCCGCGCTGTATAATACTGTATAATAAAACATCAAATTCTCCGGGTTTTGGGACTGAACTCTCACGGCTGAACAAGCAAATCTCACGATATTTCAGGAAAATTATATTATTGATCAAATTTAGCATCTTTGAATGCAAGGAAAAAGATTTATGACTCCACATTTTCTATTCTTTTCCAATTCTTAATTCGACGAAAAACGTATGCGTAACAGAGGACTATAAAGAAACAAATGTGTTCCAAGAGGCTCAAGGCCAAGAGCGTATGGTATCACATTGCTGATTTAGATTATGCTGAAAAAATAGAAATGGTGGCCATGTAAACACGGAGTGATAGCTTATACGTGTAAATATTGAAATGTTTCGGTTGTTTCGGTAGTTTTTATTGAAATTTTTCAGCATAATCAGCACTATGATACGTTACTATGATACCGGTAATATACTATGGGCTAGCAACTATAAAACAAGATTAAAGTCAGTATCAACGATACAGAAAAAGATTCTGAAAATAATATCATTTTTGCCTTATACTTTCTCATCTTCAACCCTTTTTTCAACGCTAGAAATACTAAATATTAATAAGATAAATGCTTTTCAAGTTGGCTTGTTCACATTCGACGCAGTAAAAAATACACTACCACCTCAATTTGATTCACTTTGCATAAAAAAACAATGTTATTCATTGCCATAATACCAGAGGCTCTATGAAATTACACAAACACTACAATAAAACAAACTATGGACTGTATTCCACAAAAAACAGATGCACAGTAGTGTGGAATATGTTGCCGGAATACATTAAAAATAGCGATAGTAAATACATATTTAAGTGCAATCTAAAATTATATCTTCTTTCTTCTGAAGATTATTAGTAAATGTAAAAAATGTAAATAAAAATAATTTATAACTTTATAAAGTTAATTTGTATTAGTGGATCTCATATATCTTGAACCTGACATTATCTGACACTATTCTCCTTTGTTATATTAGTTTGTTTTTTAAATTTTTTAGGGTGGACTACTAGAAAAGCCCTGACGGGCTTGTTAGTCTTCCTTCCATATGAATTGTATCTTAGTTATATTTTATCAAAACTGTAACTGTATAATGGAAAAATAAAATATCTATACTTCCCATCATCCCCTGCAGGCATAAACTAAAAGCTAGAATTGCCTATTGTCATTTACTACTGCAAAAATAGCATTCTAGAAAGAACATAGAAGACTCAATAGAAGTCGCAAACTTACGGATGGGGCATGTCAATTAAATGACAATGAATTGCATGTGATCATACTCCCCCATTCTGTTTATACTGGCCTCGGTGCTTAGATAACCTCCTGGTTTTTAATATCTGAACTTGGCAGCTATGTAAACGTACAATGCAAATCTACAAGGAACCTATTTCTCGGTAGCGTTAATTGATACATCATACAGCGATAGGTGATTAGAATTTCTAATTATCGAATGAACAGCCAATTAACAGAAGAAACTAATCAACCAAGTAATTGTTGTATTTATAGCCTGACCGAGGAAAGAATCGAAGTAATTTTGCACGTTAATTTATTTAAAGTAGATCATTTTACTTTTACAGTATAAATAATGTCCCATAGATTTGATGCAAACAATACTTAACCATCACTCATCAAATGTCACAAAAATGTATCCAAAAAAAACAGACGTCCTATAGTTTACTTACGACATGAGTCGAAAGGAATTCACACTACAAGATTATCCATTTTTTCTGCAGTAATTCCCAGGTGTGTTAAGTCGCTTGGGCCACCTTGGTTTACTTGTGTCTCGATATCCAATAATCAGTCATTCGAATTATACAAAAGTATAAAAAGATTCTAGCGTGGTGTTCGTGATAGATGAATGACATGCACCTGTTTATAATTAATTAAACTGACCACCCTTAGGGCTGCTGTACTTTCTTCACAATAATCACATCAACATAATCAACATAAATACCAGTTTCGCTGCCATCACACATCGCGAGACGTATCAGAAATAAAAAGCTCAACCACTATAAGTTTTCCTCTGCGGAGGACACTGTCAGTCAGTGTAACTGTGTAACGCTATTAATGCTAATGAGGCCATGCATCACTGAATCTATCCTTGAATCTACTTCTCTTAATCCAACCCATGAGGCATCCGGTCAACACTTATTTTAAGGGGTGGGGATACTAATACCCAAGACTCTCGATAGACCGTCCACTGTTCTTTCTTTTTTATATTTATTTATTAAGCTATTTACAATATTATAATTACTATAAGGGCTAGGAGCCTACTAGAAACATTGACAGGCTTTTTATTTCCAAGGGGACTCGCCGATTTCAGAGGTGACTTTCAATCCAGTCTCAATTAGAGAGCACTCCAGTTCTGAAATGCATAAATTATACAATTTACGCATTCAAATTTTATCAAAATTTAGTCAATTTATTCTTGGGCAATGTCCATTTATAATAGTCCCACATTAGTATTTCGTATTAATACGTTTGAGTGGTTTGACATTTTTTAAGTTATCGTGTTGATAGACAAAGACGCACACACACACACACACACACACACACACACACACACACACACACACACACACACACACTTACATACAAATGCGGAATGCGAAGTTGAAGTTTCAAATGTGCCGTTTCCAGCAAGATCAGCGGCTACTTCGTGCTCTGTAGGTATCGGTCTGATAACACTTTGTGTCTTGTTGCCGCCAGGCTTCGTATCTGCACGTGCCAGAAAAGTTGCTTGCATGCATGCCATACCATCCCAAAATATTCCGAATTTTATTGCGAAGTAAATAAACAGTGTGTGAATGATAGTCAAATAAGTTGTTTTTACCCAAAACAAACAAAGTAATTTAATTAAATTAAGGAAATTTCTAGATTCAAAATACATCGCAGCAGTAACTCGCAGTGGCAAACTTTATACAGTCTTAGACTCTCTTACATTCTTGGCGTTGTTGAATGAATTGAAAGTTTAACCATTCCCTCTTTTTAATGTAGACACTTCAGCGTCAGAAGAAGAAAGCCAATACCCCAAAAATGCATTCTATCTTACACTTGGTAAGTATTCTAGCATTTAAAAAAATTTGCCACGGCCAATTGCCTCACGTATATGATTTAAATACTTGGTTGTATGCTTACATTAGAGAGTTTGAGCAAGACAACGAAGTCGGACGACGACGACGTGGTTGACAATTTTTGCTTGTCTTGCACATTACCTTGCGCATTCTGAGTTTAGGGTCAGGAGTGAAGACAGATTAGAGATTCATGTCTAGCTGTTTGTGAATGCTGACTCAAATCCTTATCCTGATCAGAACAAAACAAAACAGCGAGACATGAATCCATATCCCGTCTTCGTCTTGTGCCTTCGTTTACAACGAATATTTTGGCAAATTTCGTTGTGAACTTGTTCTGCACGAAGGCAGAAGGACAAAGACGGGATTTAGTTTCATGTCTCGCTGGTTTTTTTCTGGATCAGGGCAAGAATTATGGTCAGTATTCATAAACAGCGACACATGGGAAGACACGTTGAGCAACCACTAGTGACGTCCAACTCAGTATGCGCAAGATAATGTGCGGACGGCAAAAATTGTCAAATATGCCTTCGTCTTCGTACTTCGTTGTCTTGCTCAAACTCTCTATTAGAGAGTTTGAGCAAGACAACGAAGTTGGACGACGACGACGTGGTTGACAATTTTTGCCTGTCTTGCACATTACCTTGCACATTCTGAGTTTAGGGTCAGGAGTGAAGACAGATTAGAGATTTATGTCTAGCTGTTTGTGAATGCTGACCCAAATCCTTACCCCGATCAGAATAAAACAGCGAGACATGAATCCATATCCCGTCTTCGTCTTCAGCCTTCGTTTACAACGAATACTTTGGCAAATTACGTTGTGAAACTCGTTCTGCACGAAGGCAGAAGGACAAAGACGGGATATAGTTTCATGTCTCGCTGTTTTTTCTGGATCAGGGCAAGATTTATGGCCAGTATTCATAAACAGCGACACATGGGAAGATACGTTATGCAACCACCAGTGACGTCCAACTCAGTATGCGCAAGATAATGTACATACGGCAAAAATTGTCAAGTATGCCTTCGTCTTCGTACTTCGTTGTCTGCTCAAACTCTCTATTAAAGAGTTTGAGGAAGACTACGAAGACGTACTTGACCTGTTTTGCCCGTCTGTGCATTATCTTACGCTTACTGCGTTTGGGATCACTGGTGGTTGCTCAACGTGTGTTCCAGTTGTGGATTCCGCGTGTGTCGCTTTTATCCTTACCCTGACCTTGACAAAACAGCGAGATATAAAACAACACAAGCCCGTCTTTGTTCTTCTGCCTTCGTTCGAAGTCCACAATGAATTTTGCCAAAATATTCGTCCTGAACGAAGGCAGAACTCGCAGAAGAGCGAAGACGGGATATTGATTCACGTCGCGCTGTTTTGTCTGGGTCAGGGGAAGGATTACGGTCAGCATTCATAAACAGATGGACATAAAAATATATATCCTCAACTCAGTATACGCAACATAATACGCAGACTAGCAAAAGTTGCCAAGTACGTCTTCGTACGTCGTCGTAATCATAGATATTATAAACGAATAGAGTCAGGTAAACGAAAGGAACAAATTACAGTGGTGTAACTTTACTTTCTTGACCCGGCACTCCTCAGGGCAAGTTGGACATGAAAATTAGTTGCCTTGAATAACATTTACTTGCCATCAGACAATGGCCACTGGGGTACCATAACATTTACTTGCCATCAGACAATGGCCACTGGGGTACCATAACATTTACTTGCCATCAGACAATGGCCACTGGGGTACCATAACATTTACTTGCCATCAGACAATGGCCACTGGGGTACCATAGTTAGGTGGCTGTTAGTAATATGGCTATGTGCAGATCTAGCTTTGGCCCAAAAAAAAATTTGCATCAAGTACATGCACTACAAAAAATTTATCCGACAATGAAAACATAAACTTAAAGATGCCCAGCTTTTTGTGGCAAGGCAACTTGCCCAATTGGGCAAGCAAGATAAAACGTTTACTTGCCCGTCATGATAATTTACTTGCCCTGGGCAAGCGGGCAACGAGATTTTAGCCAATCAGAGAGCGTTATTTGCCCCTATTGGGAAGCTTCAATTTGTCCTTCGATTTTCCCTGAATGCCCACTCTATTTGCTGTCTAGCACAAATTCTTTGTTATCAGAACAATGGTAGGTCCTGGCTCAGTTCGAAACCGCACGGCTGACTTTTTATAGGGAGACGTAGACGGAGTTTACTGGCCGCCTATTTACCTTAATCAATCTCTTCAATTTTTATTCAATTATCCACAAATTGGCAACTAATGAATACAAGGAACTTCTCGTTTTTTTCGCTTCCAGAATCCAAATGCCGTGACAGATACATAGATTGTACTGAAGAATATTGCTATCGCATAAAAACAAGTTGGTGGAAGAAAAAAATGAGAAGACAATGCAAAAGGACATGCGGATATTGCCGTAAGTATAAATATGCCCTTGTGGGACAACCTATCTTAGCAACTTATTTTAGCATAAACTTTTTGTTTCAAAACCCTTAAACTTAATCCTTAAAGAAAAGTTTTACTCATAGAGGGGCTACCCTATGGAACCGGTCGAACTCGCTAGAGCTCAATCTCTCGCCAAATTTAACAAGAATGAGTGTACTTATATCAACTTATCTAACGCGAGGAAAAGATCAAAATGGCAGGTATGGCTGTGATATCAGCCGTTCCGCACGTTGTAACCAATAATTTATTGGTGCTGTAATGCCACTGTATATGCAATAAAGTATTGGGTTGTAATGGGTCTACGATTAATCCAAACGTTAATCCTAATCCAAACCCTAATCCCTAACCCCTAGCCCCCACCTCCTAACCCCACACCCTAACTCCAAACCCTAAAGCCGGCGGCCCGCTACCCCTCCGCCGGGGAAAATTATCTAAAATATATATTATCTTGTTATCTAAAATTTCTTAATAATTGTATTATATTAGTTTCTTTGCATATGTAGTCTGTAACTCTTGTAAATATTTTGATATTTATTTTTTAGAAATTAGTTTACTAGCATAGGTACACGTCTCCATTGAAGAGCACATATTTTAACTTGTAAAATGGATTCGTGTTTTAAATAAAGATGTCAATCAATCAATTGAAAGACTTTGATCAACTTTTGAGCTCTATAATCTATATATACCCGTAGCAAATTAAACTTCAGTCATTCGGCACATGAACAGATTTACATCAATTATATTTTCAATTTTCTCAGTTAAAACTAACCATATCGCTTTCGGATTGTGTTTGTAAATCAGGGCCGCTTCAGACGGCGTACTTTCTATATGTGCCGAACTTAATTGACGAATTAGGTACGGCAGAAGAGCGACGGTATGAATTAATTATAAACTCCCAGCTAATTCCAGTTTTTTTCTAGCGGACCGTATCGCTAATCAAGTTATCATTTCATAAAACCATAGTACTATTCTTTAAATCGATGTCAAAATACGAAATTTCTGTACACTCCTTGGCAGCTTTGTGTTAACCGCGCAGACAAGAGATAAGGAACTGACGTCCAAACAGTGAACTCTATGTAAACTGGAACGATTACTCAAGCGGGTTGAAGCCAGTGCATTTTAGTTTTTCTGAGTTTTGAACAAATACTTAACACCGAACGTTGTGCTGTATATCAGTATATGAAACTGAAGCTATTGAAAAACGCTATTTGGTGTAGAAAGACTTTAGCCTAAAAGGGAATTAAAAACTATAAAAATAATTGCCAATAATTTGCCATTTTTTGGCCGGATGGCAGTTGTTTTTGTATTTTTAAAATATTTTTTATTTTCACTGAAGTCTTGAAGTTTACACACCGAATACTACAGTTTGACATAATTATAACCAAACGTTTGGGGTCAAGTATTTCAGTTAAAAACTCAGAAAAACTATTTTGGCATCAGCGAATCATACGCTTTATCATAGGAGTTATCGTTCCAGTTTACATATAGAGTTCACTGCGTCCAATAGCTCTTCAATTTCTTGTCTTCACTTTTTGGTCTCGAGTTCTCGCTCCAGTTATACCTATTGAGCTCAATAACAGAGCACCACTTATGCATTTATCAATTTTACGTTGCTAGGCGCCCTATCACCACCAGCTTGTTTCAACTCTCAATATGGATGTTGTTGGGATTACGTCACTGCAGCACTCGGCCCAGGAGGCAAGGGATGCCCGCCGTGCGACGACAATCGTCGCTATCCTAATGTGTGTCGGCGGTTTAAGACGTATTGTCTAAGAAAGGGAATCAGTGGCAAATGGATGAGAGGGCACTGCCCGGACGCTTGTGGACATTGTGGTATGTACATGCATGCGAGTTCTCACTGGCTTAGCTTGCCTTGATGAAAAACCTTTATAGAAAACCTTCAAGGTTCGATATTAGGGACCGGTCGTTATTTATGGCGGGGGGAAGGGTGGGGGGGGGGACGCCGAAGAGTAATTTTGTAAAATGTTTGCTAATCCAACCTTTAAAAAGTCAAAAAAATTTAAATATCAATTGAAAAATAAATACCCACCCCTGGCAAAAACTTTACGAAAGGATACCGTTCAGTTGTCGCACATGTCCTAAACCGCTTCTGTGACATGAGTTTGATACCAGTAACCGCTTGCGCAATTTTCTGCAGTCTAAAGTTTCATGTTGTCGGTGCATGTACTTTATTTGTAGACACCATTTGCCTCCTGACAAATCGGGAAATGATCAAGATAGTGACTCCGATTGATTTACGTACTGTATTGACATATGACTGTTGGCATTGCTTTTTAGTCTTCAATATTTCAGTGAGCCATGCTTTGGAAATGACAATAATTTTTTATTACATAACCCTTGGGTTGTTTTGTTTTTCACTTACCCAACTTTTTACTCACTCAAATTTACACTCACCTCTTTTCAATCCTTTTTTGTTAAACTTGAAACCGTAGAATGTGTCCACACCTTTAAAGCACAAAGAAAAACATATAACTTCAATTGAATAATGTTTTCTTTCCTTGTAGCGATATGGCAATTCAAATAAAGACAACGTCATGCACGAAACAAGAATTCAAGTATACGTAAAATGGGAAGGGATGTTTAACAAGTGTGCTCAAAAAAGAAAATGACAATCATATTTAAAACACGAGCACAGAGCAGATTAGATGCGGAGTTGTCATCAGTTGTGCTCCCTATATAATCTGTCTTCCCGGCCATGTTTCCATTTGGTAGCGGCTGTCGTGATCATATCATTTCGCCGATGTGAAATTGTGCGGACAATGGATTAACCCCCGGTCAAACGATGATATAAGGGTTGTTTACTATTTACATGGAAATTCTGGTGATTCCATATGAAAAGTAATTGGAACAAGTATATTTCGACGGCCCAACCGGAACTTTTCCGGAATAAACGGTTTGTTTGAAAAGGTTGTCCTCTCTTACCGATTGGAACGTTTCAACCGGTGAATTTTGTTCCATTTACATCTTTTTAATTTTTTTCACCAGTTCCAGGCTCTTCGCGATTTAATTCAAACCGGATGGGTTTTCCATGTAAATGGTAAACAACCAAGAGTTGATGAGAGTTGTATTTCAAGATCTAGATTATTTCTATTAATATACAGGCGATATTTCAAGGTCTAGATTAACAAAATAAAGGTTTGATGCGGGTTATACAACTACGATTTAACTTGAATAAAATACATGATAGTGTTGAGCATTAAGAACAGCTAAGGGACCGGTCATTATTTATGGCAGAAGTGGTACCGAAGAGAAATGTTTTTCTTTGTAAAACATTTTGTTGATCCAACCATTAAAAAGTAAAAAAGAGACACCATTTGCCTTCTGCCAAATCGGAAAATGATCAAGATAGTGATTCTGATTGATATTATATTGACACATGACTGTTTACAGTGCTTTTTTGTCTTCAATATTTGAGTGAGTCATGTTTTGAAAATGACAATAAATTTTTATTACCCAACCCTTGAGTTGTTTTGTTTTTCATTTACCCAACCTTTTACTCACTCAAAATTTTGTTTACCCACCCCTTTTCTCTTCGGTGCGCGCCACTCCGCCATAAATAATGACCGGTCCCTAACCAAGGTTACTGCCAAATCTCATGCGCTCTCATCCTCCTTTGATCCGGGCTTTCCATCGGATACTTTAATGATATTGTCGCAACAACCACGACCAAATTGAAACCAAGGATTATCGCCGAATAAAAAAATTATGTTAAAAACACAAAAACAAATATTAACATAACACGAATGTGTGTAAATATTAAGCTAGCATATTTTATTTCAATAAAAATGGAAAAGATGCAGAGAAGATTCTTTTACAATTTTCAGCATCATTAACCGGATTAAATACAGTCTTTATCTTTTAAGTTACAAGTTACTTGAATCAACTTTATTACCTCTGCATAATTAAATCAGACTATGCTCACATACACGCGTAAAAGTGTCATAGTTTCAAGATGTGTTCGCACTGCTTGTTTCCAGTTGTTGACAAGTCTGGAACAAGTTGTTATCATCTTGGAACAAGGTTGATGAGGCAACAAGTTGTTCCAACAAGTCTGACATCATCTGCACGTAACATGCACGTAACAAGTTGGTAACAAGTTCATGACAATAAGCTCGTGGCAACTTGTTACGAACAACCTGCATTAGTCTTGTTGGAACAACTTGTATAGCAAGTCTGTTACCATCATCAACCTTGTAACAAGATGATAACAACTTGTTCTAGGCTTGTTACACCAACTGCGAAAAATTAGTGCGAACACATCCTAATATCGTCGTGACATCAATCTTGTTACAACTTGTTCACATATATCTGCAACAACTTGCCCGTTTTTGCGTGTGTCGGTTGAAGGCGCATGTAGAAGCTTCAAATCCTTTATTGTCCTTTTCGACGTCTTCTTGTTTTTATATCAGCCTGCACCGTTTCTCTCTTTCCGCTTGGCAAATTCTGCCAAACGTTCAAATCATTCCTCCGAGATTCAACCCCATGTCTTTTCTGTACTTCTGCATTTTTCAAATAAATCTCGTTTACATCCATCCAGCAAGATTTTCGCGGTAGAACGACTTTGAGTTCATCTAACGACTGGCAAAACTCCCCTACAACTTGTTTTTCAATCCGTTCCGAGACTCTCCGCTCCTCCTGAACTTTATGTACGTCGATCCGCGGCGGCGCGGGCGGCAGTTGGGAAAGAAGTCGAACTTTCGTGAGCTCGCGAAGTTTCTTGTGCGCTTCACGCACGTTTCTCGGAACGCTTCCTTCGCATTTCGCGATAAAGTCTGCGCTGCAAGGACGCAACGAACGAGCTTCGTCTAAATGTTTGCTGACTTTTTCCCAAGCTTTACGCTTCAATTCGAGCGAAGTGGACGGTCGCTTCAAGTCTTCTTTTGTATAAGAGCTAAGTTTTATATAAGGCACATCGATTCTATCATTTATTTCTTTTAATTTTCCAGAAAAAGCTCTGTTCTGGTCGACTTTGTTACATTCAGGTGTATTTGACATTTCGGTCAAAGTGCTTTCAGAAAAACTCAAAGGGCGACTTTTACTCCTTACGCCTTCAATTCCGGGACATCCAGACGAATTTTGAGAATGCCTTGCAAAAAGTGTCCGTTTCGTCGATTCGTGTTCCTTTAAAAGCGTTTCGCTTCTCTTCAAGTTATTCAGAAATCGTTTTGCCGCTTGTCTTTGGCTCGATTCAAAAGTTGCAAGCATGTCTCTTTCAAAAACTGCAATCGCTTTGCGTCGACGTCTTAGCAATATGCCTTGTTGATTGTCTGTGGTAATGCTGCCATAATCCCTCGTATGTCTGGGTTTCTGCCCCACACGGAGCGACGATGCTTTAGCATCAAAGTCGTTCTGTTCCATCGGTAAATTTAACTTTTCTGCCAAGCTGCGCGGCCTAATTAGCCACCATTGTCATGAATTCACATTTTAAAAATATTCCTCAATTCAAACTTTCGCCAATAACAACAGATTCACTTTGGCCTCTATACAAAGTCGACTGTTCAAATATATTTATTTTAAAAATTTTGTTTCCACGAGTCTAATGCTTGGATCAAAGTGAATTCAACCCTTGTAGTTGCTATGTTGTCCTATCACTTAGCCAAACTAATTCCTAACAAATGAATATTTCATTCATGTTTCGCCCGTCGACCAATCATTACACGCTGTTTGAAATGTGCTAATAAAAAGGTCCGAAATTTTGACAATTTTGCAAACATTTACAATTTGATGGCTTTAATGAATCGCAAATATTAGCATCGAGAATTTGCACTGTAAACTTTAGGACACTACAGACGATGGTCTATTTTCAGAGAAGCGTTGACTTAACATTTAAAAGTTTAGCTACTGACAACAGTCTGATTTTCTGACGATACACAAAACTACAAATGTACATATTTTATACATGAATAAAGTTTCGTCGATAAGCCCGACTCCAGCTGTGTTTCGTGGCATAATTTTGTCCGGCTTTAATGAGTGTATAAGCAATAAAATTTGTCATTGAAAACATACACATTGAACTCTTGAAAATGTCGGTTTTGTAATGTTTGTGTTGTCATTTCAATATTTTCTGCAAACAAAGCAAAATATTAGATTTTTTTGACGGGAGTTTGTAGCAATAATAGTCACAGCGGGTTTTCTGTGTGTTTGATACCGAAAGTTAAAACAGCTGCCTGACTTTAAAGCATTTTAATATCTTTTCTTACGAGCGAAAAAGTCGATTAAGCATTGCGGTAATTGCTGGATGGCGCGACAGCGTACACACATTAAAAAAACAAGACAAACACACGAGAACTTTAACTTTTAGAAGTTTAGGTGATATATGTCTCTTGGTGAGATAACTCAATTTTCTTGAATTATCTCACCGATGAACCCCATTATAATTATTGCACTAAAGTCTAAAAAGAGGGCAGTAATTGAAGGGTCGTGAATTGCCAATATTTGTTGTCGTGAAATGTGAAGTAACGAGTAACGTATTTTTGTGTCGTGAAACGTGACTTACATGCCTAGCCGTGATGACAGGACGAACAATAAAGGCTGCATTCCAGTTATGCGTTTTTCATAGGTGCGTACACGCACGTAAGAGTTGAATTCGCTTAAAATTTCATATAAGTGCAAATAACCTTAACAATACACATTAAATCATACACAAAACTGAATGCTGTCCTTTTATAAATTTAGTTATTTCATAAGTAGGATGTAAAGCGAATTCAACTTTTACGTGCGTGTACGCACGTATGAAAGACGCGTAACTGGAATGCAGCCTTAAGGAGTGAGATCAAAACGTGAAGATAGCAATGCTTTGGATGCTATAATTTTACTGACGTATTTTCTTGATTTTTACCGATATATTGGTCGTTTTTAAAAAGTCTTTCAATATCGAGCTTTCAGTGGTGAATTTAGTTTGGAAAACGTAAAAATAGGTTAAGACAGGTATTAATTACTCGAGACAGAAAATAAATTTACACAGACACAGTTAAAAACGTGTTTTCTAATTTTCGTGAAACGTGAAATGGCTGTTTTTCTTCATGTGAAACAGATCCAAACCCCCCTTCCCCTTTACCACTCTCCAAAAATAGGTACGCGACCGCGTACATGTATCTGCGCATTAAAGGTCCAGACACGCCGGACGCGATTCGACAACGCGACGCGATTTTTCGACTTTCACTGACCGATAACTGTGATCCAAGTTTAAATTTTCCAAATATTTAGAAGCGCTATAACATTTTAAGTTACTTGGTCTACATATGTTTCAAACTGATTTGCTCTCATTGGCTGTTTTTCAAAAACTGAAAAATCGCGTCGCGTTGTCGAATCGCGTCCGGTGTGTCTGGACCTTAAGGCCTGATTCCACGACGGCGAAATTCGTCGCGAGAACTTGTGTCTGCGAAATACGGTGGTTGCACATGAGCGATTATATTGAATTGTCCCACTTTGTCCCCTTTCGCAGTAAGTAGAAATGTTTCGCATTTCGCCGAGAAGAAACGCTCGTGGAATCAGGCCTTTACTGCATTGATGTTGCATTCTCGGAATTACATTTTTACAGCAATTGTGCGAAATTGTGCTAGTTGAAATTATATGCCTGCTTCAGATATAATATTTACATTTAACCAGTGACTTCTAAATTAAGAGGACGAGAACCATTTATATCCCGAATCACGGCAACCGATTACAATCATACAAAAATGTTTCTTTTTATCTGGAGCTAAATCTCTGCTATTCATACAGTTCATTACTTTTAAGAACAATTTAAAGAAAATAATTAATTAAGGCTGTAAAATGTGTGGATTCAAAGACGTGGGATTAGACGTCTGTACATGGAGTCATGAGCTAATAATAGTTTCTGACATTTAAAAGAACAGGGCTACGTTTATACTATACTTTGTTTTTATAGTTTAGCTAAGTTTCAGAGGCCTCCATTAAATAACAGTCAAGATATACACGCAAATATAATTTGCTTGTCTATATTTAAAATTTGTAATTGTTTCGTGAAGATTCAACCGTAAAACAATTGCCGGAAGTGC